TAATGATATCTCTATGGTATCTACGTTTAATCAAGTAATCAATGGATTATTTATTTTTCTCCTCTTACTCACATATTCACTCTCAATTTCTGATTTTATAAAAATAAATTAATTCTAAGTGAATATGAATTTGCAAGCTGTTTGTAATCTTCTGCAAGCACAGTTTGAGCTTCATCCTGATCCGGAACGTGAAAGTAAGGTAGGCGCCACTCTATCTGCTTTCTACGTCTCTCATAGACGGGCAAACGATTACGCTCAATTACGCGAAGCCTCTATTGCAAGGGGAAAAAGCTGATTTAAATCAAATTAATCATTTTTAATCACTAAATCACATTTTGCTTTCCCCCCTTGCTCTATTGCTAGTATTTCCCAACAACTTTTTATCTTCACTATTTGAATTACCTTTACCACCTATAGAATGGGCAGTTAACCTCGTAGAAGAACTAGACTATACTGTCTATCTTGCACTCCAACTTAAGCCGTCATTAATCGAATGGATTCAGACAATCATCGACAAATACAACAATTCCAACAATATCATGCTGTATCTGTGCAGTGGATGGAACGCTGTGATGGCCCGCTACTGTGAAATCATAATGACTCCCATTGGCACTAATCATCGTGCTCAAGTACTAATCGCTTTTGTCGATAGACTACGCAATATTATGTACTATCCTGCTCGTGTATCTGTGCTATCAGCTTGTATTGCTTGATATGCACACATAACAATGACACTTATTATTGTAGAATAATAAAAACACCCTATTACATGGTACAATTATCTATCGATTTATTTTTAATTTTCGAACAAAGAAATCATTTACATTTTCTTTCGACAAACTCCAAGTTTTTCTTCCATTGCTGAACACGAGGATGATTGTCGGGTAATGATCGTTGTCCAATATCAACAGCTTGTTGATGAAATGGACGTGCTTTGAAATATTGACCCATCTTGTTATAGACGAAACCAATATTGCTGTACGATTGAGCCAGATCAGGATGATTGTCAGGTAGACTCTTCTGTCGAATTTCCAGTGCTGTTTTATGTGAGGCAAGTGCTTTAGTATGTTCTCCCATCTTTTCATATACAAATCCAATATTATGGTAGGAATAAGCTAACTTGGGATCGTCCGGGAGATTCAACTTTCGCCAAATGTCGATGGCTGTTTCATGGATTGAAAGAGCTTCGGGATAATTATCCATTTTTACAAGAACAGAGCCGATGCTACTGAACGTAGCGGCCAAAGCTGGACCATTTACAGGTGATGTTTCTAGCTGAATGTTAAGCCCCTTTTTGTAATAGAACCAGGCTTTGTCGTATTCAATCTTCCTTTCATAGACCGAACCGATCTCGTTGAACGAAGTTGCTAAGACATAATCATTGGAGGGGTAGATCTGTTGTTTGATTTCCAATGATTTTTCAAAGAATACAATGGCTTGATCATATTTCTTTTGATTTTTATTGCTCCATCCAAGTTGATGATAAACCTGTGCACGCTCACGATTATTGCTGGTTTCACCGAGTAGAGCTTCATACAATTCTTCCGCTTTATCAAAATGGCCCAGTTTCATTAGTAATTTTCCTAATCGATCCCATCCAGTCGATCCTCGAATATCAGTACGCATTCGCTCCGTAAGAGCACTTAATTGTGCATCGTTATCGGTAGTTTGAAAGAGTTCTACATGCCATAAGCGACTGTTTTCATTACTTTTGATCATATTACCAATACGAAATACAGTATGCATTGAAAATAATATTTCATCTTCTGCATCATAGTGACTAACATCGCGAATTGAAGCATACGGAGCTGATTTGATTGCAGGATCAATTTTGATAACAAAGACAATGCTGACTAAGGTATGATTTGCAAGAGCACTTCGTGCAAAGCTCTGAGCAACCTTAATATCTTTGCTGGTAGATAAAAAGTTGTTGAAAGACATTAATCCACCTTGTGTGTTTTGCAGTTGATCGAAATCTATTTGCGATAAACTTTGACCTCGGTACACAGTCCAGTGTTTCGATTGATAACAGTTATTATATTGTTCCAAGTGTAACTCAACAATCTGTTCATGAAGAGCTCGAATGAAGAAACCCATTTTAATAATCGTATCGACTTCCATCAGTCGTAAAGCACGATTAAGTAATGAATAAAGGCAACATTCATGTGTGTACCACCATATCGGCGGACGCTGATTATAATTTATCTCGAATTGATTAATATTATTCAACTGAATAGTATTATCCGCAAAATTTTCTCGATAATATTCGGTAAACTTCTTCATATGTTCTTCCGTAAAATCGATGGTCAAGAGAATTTCTTTTAGGATCTGAGTATACATAAATGTTGGATCTAATTGATCTATATTTTGATTGCATTTCTGTGAAACAAAACTGATGGAAATCGTATCTTGATCACATTTCTGTGCGTCTTCTTGCAGTGACTGACACATGGCTGAAATAGAAGCGAATGTATCCATTACTTTAGGCCATTTTTGTATCGACTGCTGATGTAGAAATTCATGTGGAGAAAAAATATAGATTGAATTGATTTGAGGAATATTATGGATGACAGGGATGAGGTACTGACAAAGTTTAGCGGAGATAATCAGCAGAACTTTTTCCTCTTGAATTTCAGTGAGAAAGTCGATGCATTCATCGGCATTAGTAAACATATGGATAGTATTGATAAAACTTTTGAGTTCGGTAAGAGATTGCTCATTTATTTCCTCAATGTAAGAAATTAACCCAACAATAACGAAGTTTTGAACGATACGGGAACTAAATGGTCCATGGAGTTTTGACTTCTGTTTAGGTCTTATTATACTAACGAGTTGCCAGTTTTCCATTTATTCAACGAAATCCGTATTGTATTATAGACAGATGTTGTCAGACGAAGATTTTTTTTTATTGTCGCTTACACTTGCTTGTTTGGGTATATTTCTGTTCGTCGCCGTGTTGTCATCATAACAGGCGGCAGCAAAGAGAAAAAATGACTGACAATATAGAGAACGCAAAAGAAATGCGAGAAATTATTATAGAATAAAAACATCATTTGTGTTACTCTTTCGCCTTTCCTTTGTTCACATCATTATACGTCGATGAAAAAAATAGAATTAGAAAATTCATCAGTTCAAGGCAAATTAACCACATGGTATATTTATTATATTTGATAGAAGACAAAAAGAAAAATAACAGTTATAAACACAAATGTTTTTTATAAAAACTGAGAATTACACAATCAACAAGTTTGTAAAAGAATTTCAACATAATTAGTACCATAATTGGCAACAATTAAGTCATATAAACCATCATTATTGATATCACCAACGGTCACCGATTTTGGACGAGCATTATAACCAAGAGCATATGAGTTTAATTTTGAGAAATTTCCTTTATTCGAACCAATGAATACAACTATTTCATTGCTATTAAAATTAGTAACAGCAATATCTAAATAATTGTCATTATTTAAATCTTTGATAGATAACGAAGAGGGAGCAGAACCAGCTCCAGTGGAATATATTGATAGTAGAGTAATAGTTCCATTTCCATATCCTTGAAAAATCATAATGGTATTTGTCTGTTCATTAGCAACAATAATATCGAGATACGTGTCGTTGTTAAAATGACCAACTGCAATAGAAATGGGTGTAGAATTATTACCAGTTGAATAAGTCATTTGTTCACTAAATTCTCCATTACCATCGCCTAAAAATATACCAATATTATTAGTACCAGAGTTAGCTATTGTAAAATCGAGATGATTATCATTGTTAAAGTAGCCAACAGCGACTGACATCGGACGGGAATCTTCGCCAGTTGGAATCAGTAATGGTGTCGCAAACGGTTTACTTTTACGTTGAAGCATAATACCGATACTATCCTCACCGGAATAGATAATAGCCATATCTAATCGAGCATCATTATCAAAGTCACAAATTACAATCGAACATGGATAAGAATTCAAACCAGTCGCATAAGTATTATATACTGTGAACTTTCCTGCACCATATCCATAAAACACACCAACATTATTATTACCACTACCAGCATCGACTACTATGATATCAAGTAATGTGTCATTATTTAAATCAGCAATCGAGATCGCCATTAATTGCGATTGAGAACCAGTTGAATATGTGATTTGTGATAAAAATGTACCATTACCGTTCCCTAAAAACAGACCGACAGTTTTACTATTAACATTGGCAACAATAATATCTATCCATTTGTCATTGTTCATATCTCCTGTAACAATTGAAATGGGTCCAGAGTTATCTCCAGTAGAAAGTGTTATTAAATCTCTAAAACTACCATTACCATATCCAAAAAGTATTCCTACATTATTAAGACCATAATTAGCAACGACTATGTCTAAGATATTATCATTATTAAGATCATTAACAACCACCCATACAGGGTATGATTGAGTGGGCAACATAATTAATATTTGATTTCGAAAAGATCCATTCCCATACCCAAGGGACACACCTATGCTACTGCTACCTTCGTAAGCGACAATAATATCTAGTTTACTGTCATTATTAAGTTCACCAACGGTTACGGAAACAGGAGCAGATGAGAAACTCTTATCAGTCGATACTTGAGGCTGAAAACTTCCATTTCCAAAGCCTATAAATATGATGATAGGATCTTTACTATTTGTAGCAACGACTAAATCAAGTATTTTGTCACCATTAAAATCTCCAACTGCTATTGAATTTGCAGAACCAGCCGAATACGATATTGGTACTGCGAATGTTCCATTTCCATACCCTAAATATACACTAATATTGTTAGTAAGCACATTAACGACTACAAAATCCCAATAATGATCATTATTAAAGTCTCCCGCAGTAATATACACAGGACTTGAAGATATTCCAGGAATAATAATGGTATCATTTGTAAATGTTGGATAATCAAATCCAAGATATGCACCTATATTATTTGCACCACTATTAGCAACGACAATATCAGTCCAATTATCATGATTAAAATAACCAAATCCAATGGAGTTTGGCAATGATTCAGAGCCAGTCGGATATATGATGGGTTGATCGAAAGTTCCATTACTATATCCTAAAAATATATTAATGATACCATCTTGAGTATGGGTTACTGCAATATCTGCTTGCTGGTCGTTATTAAAATCCGCTACTGTCACAAATTGTGGAGAAGAACTGAAACCTGTAGAATATGCTGATTTATTCAAGAAAGTTCCTTGATAATATTCAAAAAGTACTTGTATATTATCGGTGCCTGAATTAGCCACAACAATATCCGATCGATTATCATTATTGAAATCACCAATAGCTACATAAGATGGATGTGGAGCAGAACCAGTTAAATAACTTATTTCATATGTAAAATCGCTCTTGAAATATACAAGATATACAGCAATCTCGTTTGCAGTTGGTTTACAAACTACAAAATCTAGTTGTAAGTCATTGTTAAAGTCAGTAAAAGCAACAGATTGTGGCTGATCGATACCTTCAGTTGTAAATATGGTTTGTGATGTGAAAGAACCGTTCCCAAATCCAAAGAATATACCTATGCTTAAGTCAAAAATATTAACAACTGCAAGATCAAGTTGATTGTCGTTATTTAAATCAACAAGAACAACATTTTGGGGATAGCTACCACCTCCAGTAGAATATGTGATTATGTTGTCGAATGTTCCATTTCGATTTCCCAAAAGAATACCTACAGTTGAAACTGATTGACTAGCATAGACAATATCTAATCGATGATCGTTATTTAAATCACCAATGGCTAAAGAATTTGGAAGATCATCATAGGTTGGAAGTATCAATGGCGTACCATAGGATTCATTCCCGTATCCCATAAATATGGCTATACCACCACTAGTACTGTCAGATGCAATAATATCTAATATATGATCATTATTGAGATCATTTACAACGACCGATACAGGCAAAAAATTAGCTGGAACTTGGAGTGTTATTACATCTCTAAATTCGCCATTTCCAATTCCAAATAATATTCCGATATTATTATTATCTATAGTCGCCATAATAATGTCAAGAATGCTATCGCCGTTCAAATATGCAACTGTAATATAGGCAGGAGCGGTCGTATTAGCAGTTACAAACAAATTACTAGCAGTGAAACTTCCATTTCCATATCCGAATAAGATACGAATTCCATAGTCTCCGTTGTCATTTACTATAATATCAAGTTGTTTGTCATTATTGATATCAATCACGACGATAAAATTCGGATTAGAAGTATTTCCAATAAATAATTCTATCTGATCTGCAAAAGTTCCATTACCCAGATTCATGAATATACCAATAGTGCTGCTTAAATAATTCGCTACAATAATATCTGAGAAGTTATCATTGTTTAAATCTCCAACAGCAGCTCGGAATGGATAAGATATATCACCAGTTGAATACGCTACGTCCGTTACAGTAGGAAAGGAATCGTACTGAGTTAATATAACAATATTATTAGTAGCATTATTACTGATAGCAATATCTAATTTGTTATCATGATCATAGTCACCAATAACGATAGAAGTTGGATCAGAATTATATCCCGTTGAATGTGTTGTTATGATCGAAAAATTTCCACGTCCATTTCCTTTCATTACGAGAACATTATTATTTTTCGAATCAATAACAACGACATCATATTTGGTATCATTATCAAAATCGTTAATAAGTATGAAATCTGGTTGAGAATTTAAACCAGTAGAATATGATATCATACTTGTAAACGAGCCATTGCCATATCCTAAAAAGATTCCTACGTTACTTGTACCAGAATTGGTGATCGCAATATCAAATCTATTGTCATTATTAAAATCACCAATCGCAACTGATGATGGATTAGAATTTTGTTGAGTCGAATATGTTTGACTGATAAAAGATCCATTGCCATTTGCTAAAAGTACAACTAAATTGCTTGTACCATAATTAACAACAGCAACATCTAACATTGTATCATTGTTGAAATCAGCTACAGAAATTGAATAAGGAATGGAATCATAACCCATATTATAGATTAATCTAATTTGAAAAGATCCATTATTAAAGCCTAATAGTAGAGCAATCGTAGAAGTACCATAATTAACTACAGCAACATCTAAATAATTGTCGTTATTAAAATCCCCAACAGCCAAAGCAATAGGATGAGAAGAACCCAATGAAGTTGTCACTGGACTTGTAAGATTTCTCTTACCAACATTAAGAAATACGCCAATACTGTTGGTACGATAATTAGCAACAACAATATCCATTAATGTATCATTATTGAAATTCCCAGTAGTAACACAAACAGGATGAGATTGAAGTCCAGTTGAATATGTGATTTGATCATCGAATGTACCAAGTGTATTACCAAAAAATATGCCAATATTATTAGTGCCACTATTGGCTACGACAATATCAAGATATCCATCTTTATCGAAATCGCTAACACTAATGTAACGTGGACGTGGTTCGTAGTCTAATTCATATTTTGCTGATCGTTGAAAATTTAATTCACATTTTTTATCTAAATAATACAAATGACATGATGATTAGTTAATTCTCAATAAACTAAGATCAGTATAAGACAAAACAAAAAAAAAAGGTCATACTTGATTGTTTAGACAAAGTTACACAAACAATCGTTATACTAACAGCGATTGAAAGAAATGTAAACATCACCAATGTACATACACCTACTATAGACCAAAAGTTTGATGGAAGTTTCACAACTCTATCAAAGAAAATAAATAAATGTATGGTTGATTGAATAGAGACATGAGGAAGTTTACATACTCATCAATTTCTTGAGGAGGAGCTTGGGGTTCGGCTGGTGGTGGTTCGACTGGTGGTTCGGAATCGGTTGGTTTCGAATCCATGGAAAGAGTGTTCGTCTAGAATAGAAAATTAAATCATAATTGATGAGGGAGAATTATCTGCACGTAAACGCAAGGGTATGTGTATAAAATGAAATAGTATGAAAGAAAAACATGATCGTAGTTTATTTTTGTATAAGAATTGAATCATACAACTTCGTGACAATTCTACCACAGTCTTTGCAAATATGCATAAAATTACAATTTTCGATCTGTTATTCTGAATAACAAGCATAAATCGTGAAATAAAGTAATTTCATACATGACAACTAACAAGTAATAAATACGCAATCACAATATATATGACAAAAACGAAAAACAATTTAATATATGATATGCATCACATCAATAACAGTTACGTGTAGAATGATAGGCAATATTTACTAATGAGCGAAATATAAGTGTAAAAGGTAAAGAATGAAATAAGAACTAAAATAAATAATTATTCTGTCACAGGTTAAAAGTCAGAATTTATCATCAAGCAAAATCAAACTGTTTAGAAATGTAAAATTCAAGAATTGAGTACATTTCTCGACACCAATAGCTATTACATAAGATTTTCATAGATAAAAACGCGTTATTATATCAACTTATTTAACTAAGTAGTGTCACTATATTGAGTAAAATAGACACAATTATTTATTGTTCAAGGCGTATTCTAATAACTATTTTTTATTAAACAAAGAAAAGGCAAACTACAATACCTAGTATCAATATACCAAATATTTTTATTTTGCTTCGAAATAACAATATTATGAATAAATACTGTAATTTATTTCTATAATATTTTTAAATAAACACACTGTATCAATGAATGTGAGAGCACAATAAAATTATATGGTTCGATGACTTCTTGCATTTTAATATTATGACGCATAGATGAGATTCTTCTCTCGTATGTATATTTTAATTATTTACATCACAAAAAAAACATCTCATCAATATTAACGCAATATCAATCAACACTCAACCGACATATGTTATGACTATTTGAAATTGTTTCTATTTTTGATAATCCATCTGATAAATTCAGTTACGTATGACACCTGTGGTAAATAATGTTACTAAATAACAGTTATTATGGCGCAAGGATGTACATATCATTTTGAATTATGTCTGTTAAATCGATTTTTATTCTTCATTACATTCATAGAAAAGGAAGAAGTAATAAAGGCATACTTACTTACCATGAGACTTCAGTCGCTTTGTTGTTATAAAATGACAGACATATATATATATATATATATATAAGTTATCATTTTTTCTTTAGTTTTTAATAATTTATGCATTTAAAAATAAATTTGTTCGTCAATAAACTTTGTTGATCTAAATTTTATTTAAAAGTAAAATAGGAAGAAGAATAGAATTACATCCAATGATTAAAGTAACAAATTTCAAACTGCATACAGAACGAATACACCAAAAAACACTCGAGTGGGTTGCTATTGAAGATTAAGAATGCTACATGTTTTCCTACTTATTCTATATTCTAATTAGTAAATCAATTCTTTTCAAAAGATCATGTATCACTATCTTCTTGAATAATATATTATAACAGAAGGTACTTCTTCAAGACAGAAATTTATTTATAATAATCGATTTTACGATTAAATTGATCGTGAGTCAGATAACGATATATCATTCACATCTACATCCTCAAATGAATTGAAAATAATATTTAATATGATTGACTAAATTGAATAAAGTTATAAGTTTGATATTCGATGAAAATTTATGTAGTTATTGTTGATAGCAACGCCGCGATGTCTATTATTATGTGTGAAATACTAAGAAAAACATATGTGATGACTGAACGTTAAGATACAGCAATTCGTTAATTATCAGAATTTTTTTCTTTCTTTCTTTCATAATATTGAATGAGTTTTCTTAAAGTAATTTAATTTTAAAAAGCCATTACATATGCAGAAAAAAAACTGTTTCTTTTTTCTTTT